CACCCAGTGCTGCGTTTACCTTGTATTCCCCCCCCCCCCCAGAGTTTCCGTTCTAGCTTGCAAGTATCGTGCACGGTGATTGTGCGGCCCCTGCTAACAATTTTGTCAGTTTTCTGGCTCGCGCCAGTAATCTTTTTCTAGCTATCCGGCCCGCGCTAGTCATATTTCCTAGTTACCCGGCCCGCTGTGAAAGGAATTCGGTAACCCCTGGTCTAATGTAAAGACTTGTCATCAGTATTTGCAGTCATCATTGCAGATAAGTTCCACAAATGCATACCTCCAACTACCATGTACCACCTTTGGACTTCGTTCTACAATTCCGACTACGCTGCCTCGAGGCTTGGCGCTCTTCCTTTGCACCGGTGATGTTAGTTAGCTGGAGGAATAGCCTCGAGAGGGTTTCAGCGAGGGCAAGATGGCTAACATGTGACTTAGGTCCAAACTGTACAGCCGTCAATCTCAAAGTAAGCCACGCTTGGGGCGCAAGAACCAGGAGCACGCCCGACTGGAGATCATCTCGGATATGGCTGAAACTCGAATTCGTTGAAAGACGTGAGACTCTACTCCCACCATCTTGGTTGCATTGTATTTATCCATGTGTTGTGGCACTGCCAGTTGTACTGCTATTGGCCAAGCGGTATATATACATAATGTTGATGCTAGGGGACACTTTGCTGCCATATCAATGGTGGAAAGATTTGACCACACTGCATCTTAACTGCTGAACTGTTTAACTTCATTGGCACTTCCGTCTCATTACTTCTCATATGTGGTTCATGAACCAGTATACTCCGACCCACTGTGAAACACCGCAAGTATGTGTTTGTTGATGTCACTAAGTAACACATGTCGTACCGATAGGTCACAGTACTAAAATGCTGTTAAAACTTATCGGTTTCATAACCACTATTCATCCGGGCTTTGCTGTAGTCGCGTTTTCTGCTTTTACCCGACCAGTTAAGTGCTGCCTAGCCAGCTAGTACGTTCCTCGGTCCGGAATGAAACTTGGAATGCTGGAAACTGCATTCTCGTTGTTAGTTTACACTATCTGTAAGCAGCTACTCCGTCCTGTTTGCTTTTCGTGCCATCATCATCCCCCGCATAGTCGCCTCGCAATTATTCCACCTATCCCATTGCTCAATTCCTCACCGATTCTCTACTTTCCTTCACTGTTTCAGGTTACGGCGCCGTGGCCAGCAGTCACGTGTACGACTAACTTAGACATACTTGCTGAGATGGAATTATTTCATATTTTTGGCCCTTAATCACGTGACATACATTCTATTCTCTCCGAACCGTTATTCTGTTGTCGATTCACGTGATTTGACCTTCACCGGCTGTTGTGGGCTATCAGGGCCCGGCTCGATGCCTCTAGTCGACATCGTTTCTGCTTCCGCGACGAGGAGTGACTCATCGCGTCACGTGTTCAACAGCTCTGTACTGAGTGACTTTCCATACCTTGCATCTATAGCACTTTCAAATTCCTCCTTAAAGAAATTATGTTCCACAATCACTCGTTGGTCTGTAACGCCATTACATTGCATCCACCGGGCGCAAACGCCCCAACATTGCCTACTGCTCAGTGACCAATTCCAGATCAGCCGATGAGTACGCGGAGTGGGGCGCTATTGGTTGTTTTAGGATTTGTCACTCAATTAACAGTATCACTTAGGGGAGTTCGCATCCTTTGGATGCAGTTTGGTAGCGTTAAGGATCATTTTAAGAACTATACGGAGAAACCCGATTAGCTTAAGTAAGTTGAAAGCGCCATGGATGCAATCGGATGAGAAAAGTTATATAGTGGACATATTACTGATAACATATACATTATGGGACTGTGGCATCAATTTGATGATCTGAACATCTCACTTAACCTGATGGGTATCAAATACAACTAAAGAACAGTATCTTATTACTGACCTACAAATGGTATGTTGACTCGCTTCCCTCCTTCGTTCTGTCACGAATGTGTCGTGATTTATGTCGGGTGGTAGAGTGCTAGACAAGTCATTCGACTGAAGCGTCTCACATGATGTGTTCACGATGTGAAGGTACGTCCTTTGTCAGGTAGTCCTCGTGCGGAGTGTGATCTCGCACGGTCGCGGATCGATTGTCTGATTCGACATTTTTCACATTTTGTGGATAGTTTCAATCGCTGTGTATATGCCAGCCAGCCTGCATGCATGTGCAATTACATTTAGCCATTGTCATTCAACGGTGGCATTGATCCGGAAAACGTTGATTTTCTACGAACGAATATCGATGATTTTACCGTCCCCTATTCCGGGTGTTCACGTTTCGGATGGGATGAAGACGTTCACATTCTCAAGTATGTTCACTGGTTACCACATTCCCTGAGCAATTATTAGGGACATCCATTACCAAAACTGTGAACAACCACAAGACGCACCTACGTCTACAAAGGCACGTGGGTGGCTTGCGTTGTGCTTCTCTCACTACTCCATCCACACACTCCATATCCAAGTTAGGACTGAGGTATGTGAATGGCAGCCACGATTGATTTGGAGTCTACCGATACTCATCTAACCTTGTTGTAAAACTTAGCCGGCCCGTGGCTGAAAGGACAAAGCGTCTGCCTTACAACGCTGAGGTTGCGAGTTCGAGTCTGAGTAGGGTACCGAGCGATCCTCATAGTATCCTTAGCCCACGAGCCACTGGTGATGGTTGCGCGACAGCGAAGCGTCGGTACGGGGTACTGGGTACCATGCATACTGAACTTGCAGCCTATTTTGTGATGGATGCGCTCTGAACCTTGCTTCATACCGTCTCCTGGACACGTCAATCTTCATGGCCGCGTCGAATGGGTACCTTTTCACCACTCGTATCGAGCTTAGCCAGACCTAAGATATCGCTTGGTGAGAAGCGTCAAGTACACACAATTCATCCAAGTTTAGGCCGGACTGAAATAAGTTACGAATACGCAGCTAAAATGTTGGTTTTTTCGCTGAATTAGGCACATCGGTTGTAGACGCATCGTCTCCAGACAGGGCGACATCTTCAATGCGCAATGGTAGTTAGCTTTGTTAATAAAAATTAGTCTTCCGGAAAACCCGCTAAGTGGCAGTTAGCGCCTCATCAGTCCCAACACCGATGGGCACAGGGGAAGTGAATGAACCTAGCATATGTATATACTAACCACATGAGAGATTTGAACTTCTGTGCTGAGCGTTGCTCGCGGTCATTGATCTATTGAGCAAGACGTCAGCTGCCAACCGCTCCGCCCTGGATTCGATTTCCAGCTGCGCATATCTATATCTGGAAAGTCCAAACAAGGAAAAATTTGGTCATTAAGTAAGGTGGCTGGGGTAACAAACATCAAAAATATTCTCACTCCGGATACAATCCCCATGACCGATGTTTACTCCATGGCAAATCATGGTTCGGCTTGAGATTACTTATCGCAACCCAAACATAAATGTGTTCCAAAACTCAACAACGGGATTCAGTTTAATCTGCGCGATCATATACGTAACTATCCGACGATACTACTACTAAACGATGAGCAGTACCGCAAATACTTCACCTGCGTATTTGTTTTCCTCCTGGTGTTCCCACAGGATGTGTCACCTGTCGAGCACTAGCCACGTGTATACCACAATGCAGTGTCAGGTGATTTTCCGGTGAGGGCGAAGTTCAGCCAATAGGACACGGCCCGTTCTCATGCATTTGATCTTTGAACTAAAAAGGCATCAGCAGCATGCCAACATATCCTACCGACGCTTCGCTGCCATGAGACCACCACCAGTCGTGCATGGGCTGGATGTACCGCAACATCGCCCACACCTATGCGGATTCGAACCGGTGACCTCCAGATTCCGAGGCAGCCGTGCAGTCTTTCCGGCCACCGGTCGATCTTTGGACTGAGGAGCTGATGTATAGGTGGGGTGGATGCAGAAGCGATACAAGTTAGTGCGACTAGCCATTATTATATGCTATATAGTGTAAACATTAGATCAATTGTGTTGCTTATCACGCTCGGGAAAAAGGACAGAACGTTATGCCTAACAACATGATACTGCCCATTTGTTCACAAACCATGAACATGAGGTTATGCGGCGCACAATCCCAGTTTGAACCGTGATCTGCCGTGGCTTGCATATCTGTCGAACTGTGTTCACCTGGCATGAAAGGCACATCGACATCGCGCACTCTTAACGTTGCCCAACTAAGCATGAGTAGCCCTCAATATGTTGTACAAGTTTTGCATGATCTCGGCCCGTGGAAAACGGACACATTTTGTACAGATACCGGTGCGGAACACAAAGGGTCGGCAGTTCGGATTCCCGATCCCTGCTCCGTTCCAACTTTACACTCCATGTGTTGCAAGAGTACTCTTCACTTTCCCATCCTGCTTGCTTTCCGATTTGTACCTGACACTCCAGACGGATTTGCGAGTGTGCATTCGGACACCTATCTACACCCTAATCCAGCAACGTCTTGCACTTGCCTGTAGTCAGATAAGGATTGCTGCATGCGCTAGAACCGTGGAGTGAGAACTGGTCTGCCTTATTACAAACCAAGTGACCCATACGTCTCTGTTGTTGCTTTGCTTGACGTATGAGTCTGGGGCTAATATGGTGCCCACTCTATGCAGACTAACGCGAGCAATCCACGATTTTTCATCAGTTAAGCGCACATTTCTCATATCGGCGAGTTTTAATGCTTCTCTTCGCTCGACATGCACACGCGTGACAACGGGCAGGCCCTGGCCAGTTTTAACGGTCGCCCACTCGCGCTAGATGGAGTACCGGTAACATTGATCGCGTGTCAATCTGGTGTCTCAATGCATCTCCACACCAGAGTTGTGCTAGAGCTGAATATTATTTACCCTTCAAGAGTGCATAAAGCACATGACTTGACTTGACTTGGCCGGTGGCTCAGATCAACCGGACCTACGAGAGCGGAAGGGGTCCGCGCATAGAGCGCGTCTCGTGAGGCTTCCGACCACAAGAATCGCCGAAAGGGAGAAAAATATCGGAAGTGTGAAATCTGAGAACAGGGATATCGTAATTCAGCATAAATGCAATCAGAAGAAACGCAAAAAACACGCTGCCATTACCGGAAAAATAAGAAAATGTTGGGGGACACGACGGGGTGAATCAGCATGAACAAGAAGCCGTTTGATACCCGTTTCACAGAAAAAAGATACCTATCAATTACAAAAAAGACGAAGCACATCAGATACGACGAATGAAGTGAAGTCTAAAAATACAAACAAACACGCGTGAGAAACGCTCACAATGCGGCGAGGTTCTTCATGATATGTTTGAAAAGGCAGATGATGATGATGATGAGGATGATGAAATCGTAGAGGGAGCGGGGAGGTAGAAAAGTGGACAAGACGGGAGCGACAGGAAAAGCCCAGAAGACTAGTATTCCTCTTGACAAGAGAGAAATAAGTACACAAACAAGGGGAACAAGGAATGATTGAGTGAGGGTATCACAATTTAATCAACGTTGGTCATCACAGAGCACTAGATGGAAGCATGAATACTGGACGTCTGGCGGACCGAGTAGAAAGGTGAGATGTTCACAATTCCCAGCTGAACAAGTGGTACTTTATGAGCATATCTCCAGCGTCTTGCGTGGTCAGCTGTGGACCGATACCTTCCATCATCTCGTCCGGTGCACCCAATGAGGGCGGAAACCTGAGAGTCAAGGATGGTCTGTCGTTGATGGGATCAGCAACGGATGCCGCCATGGTAAGGCGTTGAAGCGGCTTTCTGGCCAGAGAGCTCGAAAAGGAGTTCCGAGCCGAGGGAAGCTTGGATTTGTGCTTTGGGTCCAGGAAGCCACCGGAGTTACCGTTCAGGTTTGCCAATGAGTTGAAGGTAGTGGTCAGCTCATAATTGATCGATAGATGAAATCCAAATTGACTGAGAACTCTAGGAGAGAGAAACAGTTTGCAGGTAAGAAAAATGAGCTGAGAGAACTGGGAACAAACATTTGAGAGTGGATGATCAGCTACATAATCGGATATTGCGCGGAATTGACGATTACAATGCATAGACATCTCGACATGTCTGCTTGCAAAAGATTGGCTGAGAGCACACGATAATAAGTCCGGATTGTAGACAACCCGTAATAGAGGTGCCGTTAAGCAGAAAAGATCGGCGTGCTGCAGTCCGAAAAATATGTGGGGAACTATGACTTTAATGGTTGCCAAAACATTCGTCTCACCCTTCGGAAGGCATGTGAGCATTATTAGTAAAGATGGAAAAGGTATGAAGGTTTCCCTGAAGATGACGTTAATGACGTAGAGTGTCATCCATGCCGGGTGAGACTACAAGTGTTTTCTGGGTGTACATATTAGAAACAGATACTAGTGAAAGAAAGTCTAACAAGATTATCACGCCAATAAATTGCCCCAATAAATTCGAAAATAACGAAACAAGGTGTCCAATAAAAATAAGGATTCCTGACGGCCCAGAGGCAAAGCCATTAACATGCAGGTGGCTCCGAATACTTTCGAAATCGGAACGGTGTCTGTCCGAGCCCGAGAAGGTGGGCTCCTGCGTTATGAACACTTGATGGAGCGAGCTCTGTTTTCCCTAATAGGCACAGCACGTAAGCATCGATCCTTCAATCAAAAGATCAATGGAGAATGACTGAATGTAGCAAGGTTAGCAATGCCCTTGATATAGAATGAGTGACGTGGTGGGTTTCCCACATGGTTTGCAGGGCTTAGAATGGTACTACGGCGTCACTATTCCTCTTTTCCATTTTTCTCAGCTCAATACATGCCTTTGGGATATCGAACATCGAGCACAGCCTCATCTGCCCATTTCTAGACAGGCCTTCACTGTGGTCCAAAGCTCATGATCTGTTGCTTAGTGCAATGACGTTTCTTTCGCTCTACCTAAAGGTCGTTATCAAAACTGCTCATAGAATACCCTAAACTTCACATATACATGATGAGGGGTTCCACTATTCCACGCCCGCCAGTGAAGCATCTAGGTACCAAACTCAGCCATAAGCTACCTGGTCACTACATGTGAGCAAAATGTTCAATGAAGTCAGAAAACTCGTTGTGTTTCTGATCTGAGATCCTCCGCTGTCATTCACTACTTAACACATCGATTTGTCATCACCTGTGTGTTACCTCACTAAACCTATTGTGCCCCGTGGCGTTTCCTGGTCTACACTAAGTAAACATTTCAAAGAAGAAACCGTCCCGATGTAGTGGCATTCCGAAGTCGACCTTTGTTGACATTATTGTGTCTACTCATGTGTCAGTGCCTACAAAACGTTTGACACAAAATACTCTCCGACACAACAAGTCACTCCCTTCATGGTGCACTGTCTGAACTGAGTGGTTTAACGGTCCACTAGAGAAGTAACGTTGTGACCACGTTACCAATAACATTTTGTATTCGCATGTATCAACCTCCTTTTTTTACAACGTTGAAGGCGTGTGTTGAGGAGGTGTGTGTGTGTATAAAACTCGTTCTTGGCTTAGATTATCTACTGCCACCGTGCTCACGCGGTTGCACCTGTCAGCACGAATTAAACCTGTGCGGTATTCAGACACGTCAGCGATGTGTGAGTAACGACCTCTAAAAGTACACCACAGAGACAGAACACAATGAGAGATTAATTGAGGTTATGTGGCGTGCAATCCCAGTTCGAACCGTGATCTGCTGTGAGTTGCATATCTGTCGATGTTTACTTCAGGCTAGTCGGGTGCGAGTTTGACGGGGTGCACCAAAACTTGAAGCGGCGTACGAGAGTTCGTGTGCATATGCGTGGTTCCCCAAGGCCGAGCCGTGATTGTGGGTCCTAATGTTTAGCAAGTTGGTGAGGAAAATTCCTAATTCGAACGGACACCTTGGGAATACTGAGTCGAGCGCACAAGTAATGAAAAAGGAGCACGTCGAGACGGAGGCGAGTGTGTGTATGTATATGAATGTAAATCCCCTTGCGACCACAGATCCATTGGAATCAACACGCTGAATGGACGTAGGAAAGGGAGAAAAATCGTTCACACGAGCATGGGATGAATCTCTAGTCCCAATATAGCCATGGTGTGACTGTTGAAGCCGAGTCGCGATAGACTCCGGACCAAAGCACCCATCACAGAGCTCTGGCTCGCCATCGGACATGTGTGACGCTGAAGCGTAATTAGGTAGCACCTGTGTTGTAGTGGTGGGCAGCTACCTTCACGCAAACGCATCAGGCCAAAGTGATCAATGGTCGAACTATATCAAAAGATGGACCACACATTTAGATCATCGTAGATAGATCCAAATAAACGTGAACGATCTAGTATGCAAATTTTCATCAATTGTTCCGCTAAGTTCTGATATCGAAAAGTGCCCCTGGATATTCGCGCACCTAGAAAAGATTTCAATGGGGCGCGTCATTAAACACTGGCCTAGTGACCAACGCGCAAGCCGTTAACCACCGTGTGTCGGGCTTCACTCTCAGCTCAGGCTACTTCCACCTGATGTGTCGGAATCAGGACGAAACCAGCCGGCCGGTCATGGAGTGCAGTGTTGGTAGACAACAGCTCCGAAGCTCCCTAATTCTATGTTTGTTCTATACCATTTTACACGCATGTTAGCGCATTGTACCAAACTTTTAGCGCGGGATATTTTCGAAATCGCGTGCAGTGTTTTCAAGTTAGCGAGGCTATGAACGCTGTTTTAGCGTCGTTGACACTTTTACTGGTCATGGGACGTTAGGCAATGGGACACCGGTTGAAAGCCCCGAGCATAAGCGACAGACAGTCCAATGAAAGTGGTCGAGCACCACCTTCTGTTCTATTTTGATGCCTATCTGAAGGAAACCTCGCTAACTTGAAAGCACTGCACGCGATTTCGAAAATATGCCACGCTAAAAGCTTCGTACAATGCGCTAACATGCGTGTAAAATGGTGTAGTTAGGTACCTAAAGATAGTTTAGTGGATATTTGGATACCTGACATTGCATTTGAGTAAAACTTCCCACTAGTACAGTGCGTTATTGGGCAATGTTTGTTAGGCAGCGCAGTGGTCTATCTGTTGCGCGCTCCACCCTTTGTCCATCTGCACGTCGAATGTTACTAACATTAGGTGCAACCTCAGTTTACTACATTCGGATTTGCCTTGGATCGAATCGAAAAATTCTGGATGACTCAAGTCACTGGTACACCAGTTATCGAGCGGGCTTCTCAAAATTGCGGTAATGGAGGTAAGATAAGGAACGTTGACATTTTGACTCATGGGAAACATCACGATCATCAGTCATATACGATGTATTTGATGAGTACCATAATCTTTTGACTACTGGTTTGCTGTTCGCGTTACCTGACACAGAATGCAGCAGAAAGTGGCCGTCTATTAGTCATTTGAGCATCATACTCTCAAGTGGCTGGAAGCTAATCGCATCAAACTGGAGCCCATCGCATCCGTTGTTGGCAAGAATCATCACGGGGACTCGGTTCAGAAGTAGTAGTAGCTTCGATCGGGAAATCTCAATCGCGTTTTCTCCGTAACGTATATGCACAACCCGATCTTAGTCGAGTGCACAGCACATATACTTGGATTGCAATGGGATTCCATTGGCGGTCATTCACACAATATGTACTTTAAAATGACCCTCCTCCAACCAGTCATTATCCGTTGTGGCAAGCGTTTCCCGTCATGAGTCAGTGGCTGAAGGGGGTAGAGGTTCACGGAGCTCTGACTCAGTGACCACGGCCGTAAACCGTTGACCACTGTGTTGGGCTCCCTTCTCACTTCACGAGTCCACATCAGGACGAAATCGATCGGTCGTGGAGTACAGCGTTGGGAGAAAACAGCTTGGAAACTATGCACTTCGGATACGGTCGCATTGATTGAAATGGCATAGGTTTGCTTCCGAGTAAACTGTAGCCTCAATCGAGAATGCATGTCGCAATGCAGACGCATAGCGGGTACTCCCCAAGACCAAACAACAGCGAAAAATGCATATCTTATTGTTAATCCTAAGGATAAATTTCCCACTAAAATAGGATAGAAAACCCGTATAACTCTGTCGATAGGGGAAAGCATCTCTCGGCGATTTAGAACAGTGAAAGAACCGACTAAGGTACAAATATCTTCATTTGACTATATGGCAGCACGCGCTCTTTGCTTCGATGAACAGGGGTCTCGTTGCCTTGCAAAATATCCCGAGGCATCTTCGAAAATCCGCTACACCTAGGCTTGACAGCCATTTACATCGAAGAAGAATGCAGTGTAGCTGGATTCCGTTAAATATCTACGATATGAGTACCGAAGCTCGCTGGATCCTGTTACCGTTTTAACGGGAAGCACAAGTGGCGTGGAAAATGAGATGAAACACAATGAGAATGCAAAAATGCCAAATGTAGGGGTGCCGTTGGAATCGAACACCGGATGCGATCACTGATATATGGTCTATCCCAAGTCTTCCATTCACAAAGCCCAACCGGATACATTTGAAGCAAATTCCTTCATGCATTTCCCTCACGTCATCAGTCGATCTGCTAGCGATTTCACATTCAACTAGGTACGGGAACAGCCTAACACACACCGAGAAAGGTGAGATCGGTTGGTATTCGAAAGACCACACACCTACGCAATGCACACGGTTCGAGTTCAACTCTAACGTTTCGGTTCAACACCAGGCAGTCTCTTTCCAAACACCGATTAACAGGTCACATGGCGTCAACCATGAGCCACTAGGCTCTGAGTTCCAGCCCAACTCAGGCTATCTATCTCCAACTGATGAGTCCCAACCAGGACGAAACCGCGGTATTGGGGTGCCAGTGTTGGGATGAGCAACCCTATAATGTTTCCATTTTTACTTACGGTCTTTGTGATCGGAATGATCGAGGTCCACCTCAAGTGAACCGAGGTCTCAATAGAGGTTGCTTGTAGCAACCCAACCACCAGCGGATTCT